TTGATGTGATGAGAGCAAATTAAGGGGCTAATACCCTTAATGTCAGTAATCGTCCAACCTAATGCCGATTTGTGTTCATGCAGCATGTCAACTAACCACTGCTCTTGAAATGCATCATGTTTAGATGAAATGATGACAGGAAAGGTATCACCAGCTCCCAGGAAGACATGTTTTAGATTCTCAAGCAGTTGAGCCAGCTTGAGGTTTGGGGTTTCTTCGATGGATGGTTTTGGTTTTTCTTTTTCTCTAGGTAGCTCTTCAAAGCGTGGTTGCCAAAACTTGGTTCCTCTGCCTTGTGAGTCTTTGAAAATGGTGACATTGTTGGCCAACTCACAAGGACCGGAACTCTCAGATTCAGAAATGCGGAGGAAATCGTCAAGATCATCAGAATTGCTACACAATTGAACCTCCTCTGAGACGAGTGTGTCAATTAGAAATGTTTGGTGGCACTCGTCATTATCACGTGGTTGCTTTGCAATGTGAAAAACATTCACCTCCAAAGTCATGTTCCCAAAGGATATCTTCATCAGACCATTCCTACAGTTGATGAGAGCATTGGCTGTAGCAAGGAAGGGTCTTCCGAGGATGATGGGAATCTTGGACTCCATACTCACCATGGATTGAGTATCCAAGACTAGAAAGTCAATGGGGTAATAGAACTTATCAACTTGAACCAAAACATCCTCAACTATCCCCTGAGGCTTCTTGATCGATCGATCAGCCAGCTGCAGAACCACAGATGTGGGCTTAATTTCTCCAAGACCAAGTTGCGAGTAGACAGAGTATGGCATGAGGTTAACACTCGCTCCTAAATCAAGCAAAGCTTGGCTGAACTCATGTGTCCCAATCTGACAGGAAATTGTGGGACAACCGGGATCCTTGTACTTGAGCGGTGTTTTCTGGTCGATCACCGCGCTTACTTGTTCTGTCAAGAATGTTGTCTTCTTGACATGGTGCTTCCTTTTGATAGTGCACAGATCCTTGATAACCTTAGCATAAGCAGGCACTTGCTTGATAACATGAAGCAAAGGAAGATTAATCTTCACTTGAGTCAAGTGCTCTAGGATCTCATTTTGGTGTTCCGGTACTTTCCCAATTGGACGCAGAGCTTGGGGAAAAGGCACCTTTACCGAAATATTTGTTGGCTCATCTTTCTCAGGGACAACTTCCTTACTACTCGAAGCGGTGGCATTTGTTGATGGTTCTTCCATAATCTTACCACTACGAGTACTGATGGCATTCACCTCCTTAACATTTTGATTATCAAGACATGAGGTTTGCGCCATATGTTGACCCTTTGGGTTTGACTGGGCTTGTGAAGGGAACCTGTCGCGTTCTTGAACAACCAAAGCTCCAGTCAGCTTCGTGATTTGACTTTTCATTTCTTTACTTTCCTCCACCATTTGCGTGAACAGTGATTCAAACTTTTGATTCGTCTTACTCTGCACCTCCATGAAAGATTGCAAGGTGTTCTCGAGAGAACTCCCTGGCTGATGCGAATTGTATTGAGGTG